GTGTGTGTGTGTGTGTGTGTGTGTGTGTGTGTGTGTGTGTGTGTGTGATTCAGGGGTAAGGAGCCCCTACAGGACAGCGTGGTGTCTACCTATGAGGAACACGAGGACAGTGTGTATGCGGCGGAGTGGTCGTCGGCCGACCCCTGGCTCTTCGCCTCGCTCAGCTACGACGGACGTCTCGTCATCAACAGGGTCCCCCGAGCCCTCAAGTACCGCATCCTGCTCTGAGAGGCTGGGGAGGGACAGGTGATCAGTGTGTGTGTGTGCGTGTGTGTGCGCAGTAAGCAAGTGAGTGAAGACGAAGTAACCCAGCTGTAAACATTCTTTGCAACAAAAAGTCCAACATTCCTTTATAACGTGACACAGTCAGTGTGCTGTGCAAGATGCTGCAATGCTGCAGCGTGTGATGTAAATCTACTGAAGCTCATATGTTTGACTGACCACTGGAAACAATAAAAGGGTTTTGGCGCTTAAATGACTGCTGAAACATTCGTCATGGTGTGCTGTGGTGGAACACATAAATGAGTAAAATCATTTTCTTCATCCAAAAAACTCTACTGTGTCATGTCATCTTGTGCATAAATATGTTATTTCCCAACGATATTTTGTCTGAATCTATTTGTTCTCATTTATGTTGTGTTTGTCGTTACCTGTATGACATCCTTGAATCTGACAATTATTTTTTTAAATGTTTATCAATGAATACATCCTTCAACTTGCAATGATTTTTGGGCCACTTGGGGTCAGCAGAACAAGTTGTGAAAACAATACTGACATATTATGAGTTGACATGGCAAACAGTTGCATATTTGCACATCCAGCAGACACAGAGCAACGTGGTCATTCATTTGCAGTCATGTTTCTTGTCACCTGAGTCTTAACATTCGCTCTCCTTTCTGATCTGTTTTTGGTCTCAACCAACTCCTGAGAGAAATGATCTGCAGCTGCTACATAGCTGCTGCTGTTTAGCAGCTGACGCTCCACCGTGTCCAGACCGAATGGCAGCGGTGTGTTTGCAAGCTGCAAAATTTGTTTTTTTGTTTTATTTGTTGACCAGACACAATACCAAATGAACTTTGTCTACCTTCACCATCTCATTCTCTTCTTCCTTGTCCTCCTCTCTGTGTCACTTGCTCCCCCCTCCCACTCCATACAGTGTGTGCTGAGGCTGGTCGATAGTGACAGTCCGAGCCTCTGTTATGGCAGACACCATTGACGGGCCTTTTAATTGCAGCTTGACTCTATGCATCTCACACGCACACGCACATGCACACGCACACACTAGTGCCAAGGGAGTGGTACGGGTTCTTCATTAGCTATGCCAGTTGGAGCAGGCAGCGCCGTGGCAGAATACAGAGTATATTCGGCTGTCTAATCAAAGAAGCTGCACACACACACACACACACACACACACACACACACACACACACACACAGGCCTTGTTACCCTGCAGTCAATTATTGAGAGGAGGGATCAGGGTGTAGATGCAGAGGGATGGTGAGCGTTGAAAAGGTAATCGCTCAATATCGGCCATCTGGAAACCTGAGATGCTCCTGCACAGACGAGACCCTCGCAGCACTCGTTGTCACGTCTCTGCCGTCTTCTGGGTGCCAAGTGTATGAAGAGATGGGAGGGTGACATGCATGCCGAGGTCTTCTGCCTAACAGCACTATGTGCGCTTTTGTATAGAAAGACTATATTAAAAGACAAATGGTAGATTAGAAAAAGCAGAGAGAATATTTCTACCATCTTATGCAGAACATCCAGCAGCTGATTTGACTGACTGGGACCAATCAGTCCACCCATCTGCTAATACCAGCTGAGTATTTGCATGTGAATCGATGAAGGTGCCTCTTTAGTATTCCTGAAAAGGCTCGCCTGTGACAAATTACACTCAGTATGATGCATTGATAGTCAATGAGGACATTTTGAGGTGTTATTGCCGACACGGTAAATACCCATATCCAGGCAACAGCGCTTTCCTGGCCAACAGCATCGCACGATGGGGCTGGTGGGTTATTCACAAAGCAAAATCTAGGAATCTCTGCCGTCCGCAAATATGGAATTAATGAGTCATTTTATTTTTGTGTCATTTACATGATCTAACAATATCTTGTAACTGGACTAACTAGAAAAAAACACATTGGTCTCATGCAAATTTAAACCCACATACACATTCTATACGTGATAAATCCCAAAAGATCTCCCAATATATTGGGATTTAAAGAAATGCATACACACTTTATGGGTGTGTAGGATTTGAAGGATATATTGGCAAAAATGTAATATAATATTCATAACTTTGTTTTCATTAGTGTATATTCACCTGAAACTAAGAATCCTTGTGTTTTCGTTAGCTTAGGATGAGCCCTTCGTATCTACACGGAGTCCGCCATGTAGCCCAGAACAGACAACCCAAACACTGGTTCTAGAGAGAGCCTCTCTCGTTTTTACGTGAAGGCCCCCGTAGTTCTCTGACATGCTTGTGAAACTGTGGTAACGTGAGCCGCAGAGTGCAACACCGCGGTACCGCCATTCACCTTCTATCTCAGTACTCCTAAAGTAGGCGACAGTCCTGAAAAGGTACCACGGCGTTGCCACGGTTTTCACTCTGCGGCGCACTTCAGTGCAGTCTTGGAAAGGGAGGGTTGAGCGGATCGTTGGTTGAGATCTGCAAACTAACCCTAGATGTCACTAAATCCTACACAGTGGACCTTTTTAAGTGTAAACCAATAATTAATCATTTTTAAAATCTTGTTTCTCAAGATTACCAACCATACCTTTAATACCATTTAGAGTATGAAGATGGAAATATTTATCTTGGCACTTTGGTTTCTTCATAATTCCTCCTAATGCTCTACTTGTGGGGTCTGCTCCTAACTGAAGCGCTACATCATGGGTTAGTCATGACGTCTCCTCTCCCATCCCGAGCCTCCGCTCAGAGACCTATAGCAGCACAGTGCTACTGCGTTTTACAAGATCCAGCAGCGGGTTGTCACCATGCATGTCACGTGACCAAAGCTTTACATGCCAGCCACCCGGACCTCCTCGGGTCATAAACCTCTTGACCTGGAATAAGAGGTGACAGTGGTGTTGTGGCTGCCGGCTGCCTCACATGACTCTGTCCACTTGCCCGGGAAGGAGAGAACGGAGAGAAAGTGACTGAAATATTTATGTGGCTGGGAAATAGGAGGATTTCTTAAGCAAAGAAGAGGGACACATTGCTGGAATATGTGGTTTACCATGTGGATACATTAAGGAGGCATTTGTTTCTCAGTTCTAGGCTAAGATTATATTTATGAGGAGAACACATAATGTATAACAGAATCACCTCAGAGATCAGTGGGCATGAGTGTCTATGTTTATTTATTCTCTCCGTTGTGTGTCTCTGTGTAAATGCCATTGATGCTGCCAGCTGTTTCGTATATTACGTTCTTTTTACTCCATCACCACTATATCAGACATATGTCTTACACAGGAAGTACGGCGCACTTCTAAAACACAGAAGTGTTTGCGTAATGTCTTATGAATGGCGGTAATTGTACCTGAGGGGTCACCCGGGTGTCGTCCTCAAAGGGTGGAGGCGGAATTGGATTCAGCCGCTGAGAAAATGAAATGAAAAAATAAAATTAGATTTCATTTAATTATTTATTCATGTCGGCGATGCAATATGGAGCCACCTGGGGTGTTTGTGTGTTTGTGCCCGAGTGTGAGCGGGGGGGTGGGGGGGGGGGTTTCAGGTGATTATTACCTCGGAGATTTTGACTCATTTGTATGGAGGGGAATTTATATGACCCCTTGAAATGGAAATTATGCACAAACACGCTGCTCTCCACAGGAAGAGGAGAGAGAAAGACAAAGAAAGGAAAGAGTGACTGATAGCTGGAAGAGGGGGATGTTAGAGGTCCCTCAAGGCGCCTGTGGTGGGGAAAGAGAATGGCATGAGCAAGATGAGGATTCTGTGTGTGTGTGTGTGTGTGCGTGTGTACTTTACAGCTTTCTTTGTGAGGACCAATTTTGAGTTGAAGCCCCCCTAAAATGTTCTTCAGCCCCCCCCCCCAAATAATTTGGCATTATTGGCTTTAAAAAAAATATATATATTTTTATTTTGGTGATGTCATTAAATGAAACTATTGTTTCTCACATGGACAAGTTATTTATAACTAACATGCTACATATGTGCGTGCGTTCTGGTTTGTATGTTTTCTCCCCCTTCAAATTACGATCCAACAGCCTATCATCATACTTAACGATATAAAGTTGACACTGTCGGGTCCATTCTCCATCCATTGTGTGCGGTCCTTTTAAGAATTAGGATTTGGGAGTGACGCGGATATGAAAGCTAGTTTATCCGTCTTTCCTTTACAAGCAGGAAAATTATTTCTCTCTTTATTTGAGAAAAGTTCATATTTGTATGACCCTGAAATTCTGTCTCTTGTGTTATCATATACTGAATGCAAGCAAAACTACAGAGCAAAATCACACTCTTTCTGATTGAACCAATCTATGAGCTGTCTGAAACAATGGATATCCGCGGCCCCAAATAAAATTGGGGCGCAAACATGCCACTCCCCTTGGGGCTAAGCCGCCCCCTATCTTTGAATCCTAGAAATGCCCCTGCGAATATTGCATGGAGAAAAGCGACGGCATTTTACCCGTAGTGAGATTGATTTTTCGGAGACTCAAATAAAGGCATCAACTAATGACGTTTTGCGGAACAGACATATCCAAAACTTACACTATAGTGTACAACAACTTGAAATCTCCACAGTCCGTACCAAGAAGGCAAACTTTATTACTCTTTTCAACCTTGACAAAAGGCAGCGCAGACCTGTTCTTACCTTTCACAAAAGCCCCAGACAGATACACTGTGTAACTGTTTACCAGAGGGGCGTAAATTCACAAAGGAAACTCAATAAAACAAGTTTACAGTGAACTTGGGCTATTTTGAAAAGGAAATATCAGCCAGAATGACATCTGGGTCAATAGGATCCTGATAGTTGCTCCTCTACCTCCACAAAGCTATTTAGACCTTTTTTTGTGCAAAAAACTGTTGCAAATTTGCATCGCTGCCAGTATGAATAGTTTTGATGCGGAATATTCTAAATATTTTGCATTTGTCATTTGTTTAAAATGTCGCATCTCTTTTGGGTAAAGGCCTTAAGGGTTGGGCTCAGTTAGGGTAAGGGGCTAGAGAATGCATTATGCCAATGAGTGTCATCACAAAGATAGAAGTTCAAGATTTTGTGTGCTTGGAGGAAGAGGGAAGCCTGACGAAGTGTGTGTGGCCCTCAAATGGGTTGCAACAGGAATGACTCACGCAGATCTGCTCTTTAAAAATACTACATACTTCACTGTATGACTCCTGAGCTGGAAGGGATTCAGGATCAGCTCAAGAACACTGGTTAGGCGGCAAGTTTCCAACGTTGGCCAGAAGACAGGTTTTCGACCCGCTGCATTTGAAATATGTATCAAGAGAGAGATGAGCTTTACTCCGCAGCCTGTAGTGGACAGAGAATAAACAAACCATTTGAAATGTGCAGGGGTTTAATGCACGAGGCAAAAAAAAAAAAAATCAGTTCAATGTTAGCCTTCTTGCAG